TAATGTTATGAATAATAGTTTTTGTGTGAGCATAGGTTTTTCAGTCCTCCTGAATATAATACCTAGAAATAGAATTGCTGGGTCATACAGTAACAATATGTTTAACTTATTGAGGAACTGCCAAAATGTTTTCACTGTGGCTGCACCTTTTTACATTTCTACCAAGTGTATGAAGTGAGGGTTCACATTTTCCCACATCTTCCTCAACACTTGTTATTGACTAGTCAGTGTGCAGTGGTTTGGGTTTGCATTTCTCTGATAGCAAATGATAGTATCTTTTCATGTATTTGTTGGCCATTTATATTTCTTCTTTGCAGAAATGCATATTGAAATGTTTTGCCCTTTTAAAGTGTTATTTGCCTTTTTATTATTGAGTTACATATCTTCTGGTTACTAGATCCTGAGTAGGTATATCATAGGCAAGTATTTATCCCATTATCTCTTTTCACTTTCTTTTTTGGGGGATGGGTTGAGTGCTAGGGATTGAACCAACGGCCTTCACACTGAGCTACATCTCTAGCCTTTTTTATTTTTCATTTTGAAATAGGGTCTTCCTCAGTTGCTCAGTTTGGGCTTGAACTTGTGATCTTCCTGCCTCAGCCTCTTAAGCAGCTGAGATTACAGTTATGTACCACTGTGCCTGGTTTCCTGATAGTATGCTTTGAAGCACAAATATTTTAATTTTGATGAAGCTCAATTTATTTTTTCTTGGTTACTTATGCTATAGTTATCATTTTAAGCAACTGTTAGCTAACCTAAATCACAAAGATTTTTCTCTATGTTTTCTTTAGAGAGTTTTATAATTTTAGCCCTTAGATTCTGGACTTCCATCCATTTTGAGTGAATTTTTGCATATAGTATGAGGGAAGGTCCAAGTTTATTCTTTGGCATATGGGATACCCAGTTTTTCCAAGCACCATTTGTTGAAAAGTCTGTACCTTCCCTCATGAATCATATGAATACTTTTGACAAATATTAATCATCATATGTGTGGGGTCTATTTCTGAAGTTTCTATTCTATTAATCTTTATCTCTTCTTATATATGTGTAAAGCTCTTGGTTGGTATAGATGTGTAGTAAGTTTTGAATCCTGGAAATATGTATCCTCATACTTCATTCATTTTCAAAAATGTTTTGGTTATTCTGGGTCCTTTTAATTTCCATATAAAATTTTAAAACAGCTTGTCAATTTCCACAAAGAAGTTTGCTAAGATTTTGTTACAGATTTTGTTGAATCTGAAGTGATTTGGAGAGTATTGCCATTTTAGCAATATTAAGTCTTCTAATAAATGAACACGAGAGGTCTGTTCATTTAATTAGGTCATCTTTACTTTCAGCATTATTTTATAGTTTTCAATGTACAAGTCTTGCACCAATTTTACTAAATTTATTCTTAAGTATTTAATTTTTTCTCATACCATTTTTTTTAGTAATTTTTTTTTTCGGTACCAGGGATTGAACTCAGGACCTTGTGCTTGCGAAGCAGGCGGCAGAGTCACTGAGCTAAAATCCCCAGCTCTCATGCTATTTTAATGCAATTGTTATTTTCATTCTCAGATTGTTCATTAAGAGTGTATGGAATATAAAACTGCATATTGATTGACCTACAGTATTGCTGAACTTATCAGTTGTAACAGATTTTTTTTTGGTTAATTCTTTTGAACTGTCTATATATAAGATGATAAATTCTGTAACTAAAAATAGTTTTACTTCTTTCTAATTTAAATGCCTTTTATTTCTTTTTCCTGTCCAATTGCTCTGACTAAAACCCTCAGTACAACTTCAAGTAGAAGTGATGAGATCAGGTATTCTTTTTCATTCCTGACTACAATGAAATCATTCAGTCTTTCACTATTGAGGGAAGTGACAGGAATGAAAAATGGAGAGATAGGGATCAGTGATTACTGCTCATTTGGAAAACACTCCTTGTTTTGAAGGAAGGGAGGAGTTATCTTGCTCACCCATGTCTCTATCACAGTTAGAAGTTAGTAGTTAGACCCAGAATAGGTTCGATGTACAAATTTGTTAAATTGATCTCCATTAATTCACCTTGCTTCAGAGTTCGATGAAAGCTGGGGAAACAGCCTTTAAGTACGCTAAGAGAGTTTCTAGGAATGCCTTGCAACCTGGCAGGTTCTGGCATTATTCTTCTTGACACCAGAAAGCTATGTGCTAATAGCAGTATCCGTGAACACTAGAGAGAAGTTATGCATTAGCTTGCACAAGTTCTTAGGCAGGGTTGATATGGAATTATAGGTTGCCACCTGGTAAAGATAAGCTCCAAAGATGATCTGTATCATTGTACTCTGACATGCAAGCAGACTAGAATCTTTATCTGCATGGAACAGGGAAGCTTTTAAAAGCAGGAAATTTAGGTATTCAATTAGAAAATTGTATTATCAGACCACAGGGATCATTTCTGTAACCATGAGATCAAGGGAACAATAATTGAGGCCTTGCATGGCACTTTTTTCTAGGCTACAAAATATTGTCTCTACAATGCCACATCCATGAAGATAAGGGATTTCTATTGTCTTTGCTGTTGGATCTCTAGTTTCTGACATATGATAGTACACTTGATCTTAGCCAAAAGGCTGAGAAGTGATTATCTGACATATGATAGGCACTTGATATAGATTTAATGAATGAATGAATCTTGACATGAATGAATGAATGTATGAAAGCAGCATCTTTGCCTAAGGAATGGGCATCTGGGGTTGTTACAAAGAAGTAAAGATGTCTTTTCAGAACTGCTTTATGGAGGGCCTACCGCTCAGACCTTTAGTTCTAGCTAGAAGGAACTTCTCCCACCAAATTTTTGGTAGGAGAACTGCTTTTTGGGATGCAGTTGTCTTTCTCTCTGCTTACTCTTATTTGTAACTACAATCCCATGGAGTATGCAGTGAATCTAAATCTCCTACTATTCCTGCCCTCATATCCTGTACTCCTTCCCACTAGAAGTGTTTCAAATATTCATCTTATCCCAACCAGTCTAAAGGTAACATTTTGACTTGCCTTGTCCTGAGAATTAAAGGAATGATTGTTTTCTCTCCTCCCCACCCCGGGGTCAGACTCAGGATCTTGCGCTTGCAAGGCAGGTGTAGTGGTTCTTACCTCTTAAAAGCCTGCCTGCATTACCCTTTTCCTATCAGAGCTTAGATTTCTTTGTTCGAAGCATAAAAAAGCTTATAGACTGATAGAAGGTCAGGTTTCCATTATGACAAATAGAAGCATCATGTATAGGAGATATTTGCTTCAATGTCTTAGAATCTGTTTTTCAACAGGTCCATTCCTTTAAATAATCATCCCTAATATTGCCTCCCAATTGTATTAAAGGGCATTTATTATAGTATTGAAGATAAAAAGGTGACCTTTTGGAAGAGATTACAATAGAGAATTTGCAAAAGATGATAGGTTTTGGGTAGAGATAAACTTTGCATATTTGGCTGCGTATACAAAAATGTGTTAATACAGAGTGATGTCTTTTTGCTGTGGCCTGTAGTAAATAAAAGTGTAGGTAACATTTCTAGGCACACTGGGTGATAACCACACTCCCCACCCCTAGGAAAGAATGTGAAAAGGAAGAATATACAGAGTTGGGAAGTAATTACTGGTCTTTTTAAAAATTATTTTTTTTGTAACTGCTGTTTTTTTAGCTTCATCTCAAAGCCTCGAAACCATCTTACCAAAAGGCTTTTCAATGGCAGAAATGGGGATGCATCTCAGTTGCTTGATCTCAGCTTCTTAAGTGGGGGATGTGAAAAAAGCCTAGAAAATAAGGAGAGGAAATGTAGACTTCATTAATCCTGTTGAGACAACTGGCAAAGTCCTTGACAAATTGCCTCTGACAGATTTTGTCACCGTGTCTAGAGGTGACATTTTTTTTTTCTTCCACTGTCTATAGTTTTGTCTTTTCTAGGATTGAGACTAAATGGGATATCTTGCAAGCTAAGTCATCCAAGATCTCCAAAGACATCTTATCCAAAGGAGGTTTTTGATTGTTTGTTTGATTGTTTGTTCTCTTCAACTTCATGACAGTCTCAGTCTTTACCAACTGTATCTGTTTCTTTTTTATGATTCTAATAATTGTTAGTCCATTTGGCCCAAACCTTTTCCTTTTCTGTTCTTGTCTTCCTTAGAGCCAGAGGCACACATGTGATGTGCTGGCACAGTGTTTAATAGCATAGGCTGTAGAGGTAAGACTGTCTGGGTCTTATCACAAGATTCCCTTCTTCCTAACTATGTGATTTGGGACATATTTCTTAACTTCTTTTAGCCCTATTTTCATCTTCTGTGAAATGCTGTTAATAATGCTACTTATCTAGCAGAACTGAATAAGTTTCTTGATAGCCCTTACAACAATGGCTGGTGTATAATAATTGCTTAATCAATAGCAATTGTTGTTACGTGGTAGGGAAATATTCTGCCATCCTCATCCCAACTTTAAGGAGGTAGAGATAGAAATGTTTTCATGTCCAAGGAATTTTACAGTTCAATTTTGATTATTATACATCCTATGGCAGAAATCAGTACTAAAAAACTTGATTTTGAGACACGCATTCTAGCATTTAACTTTGGTATTCAAATTGTAAGTTCTTAAATGCGGTGTTTGACAATAATGTAGCTGTCATACTTAGATACGTTTAAGTTTTTCTTTTCTTGATCCTGCTGTGCTTTCTAGATATGCTTCACTATGAACATGTTTTGCTTGTAATCACATTTCTATTTTTGGAAGTATTCTTAGCCAAGAAGCCTCTCAGAAATGAATTAGTCACACCTCATATCTTCCATTTCACAGAGAGGTCACTGGGGACCTAGACAGGATTAGACGATATGGTCAGGGCCACAATAGAGCAAGGTCTGGCATTCTGTTTGCAAGGACTTCTGATTGAAGGCTCTTTGGATACCCAAATGTTTTAATTTACCCTTTTACTACTTGACTGGAATCTCTTCACAGGAGGAGATTAACCCATTATTTTTCTTTCTGCTTATTTCCACAGCTCTGGGTGAACCAGGAGGATGGGGTGGAGGAAGGGCCCAGTGATGTGCAGAATGGGCACCTGGACCCCAACTCAGACTGCCTGTGCCTGGGCCGGCCACTCCAGAACCGGGACCAGATGCGGGCCAATGTCATCAATGAGATCATGAGCACTGAGCGTCACTATATCAAGCACCTCAAGGACATTTGTGAGGTAGATATCATGGTGCATGTGGTTGCACACAGGGTGGGATAGGGGGCACTTCTATGAAAAATCAACAGCTCTAATGGGCCTGCCTTTGAGAATCCCAAGATGTTGAAAAGAGCAGCTGGACTACTTCCTAGATTCTTTTCAATAGAGTGAAACTATTCCCTTGAGACTCTTAATTTCTTCATTTCTCTCCTATTTGGTAACTTTTTATTCATTAATATTCAGTTTCTTCTTTCTCTCCGTCTCCCTCCTTCCCTCTCCCTCTCTTGTCCCCACTTTTTATTTCCCTGAATCTTTCTCTCCTTTAAATCTCTACCCTTTTCCTCTTATCCAAGAAGCCTCTTAGAAATGAATTAGTCAAACCTCACATCTTCCATTTCACAGATAAATCACCAGGGACCTAGGGTGAATTAGACCTATGCTCACAGTCATCAAGCCACATTAAAGCAAGATTTGGCATTCTGTTTGCAAGGGCTTCTGATTGAAGGCTTCTGGTTTCTGATCTAGTCGCTCATGTTAGGGCCTAATTTCACTCATTAAAGCAAAGCACAGCCTCCTCCAAGCCAGTAATTCACTTGAATGTGTACCAGAGTCCCTTGGGGAGCTTGTTAAGCATATAGATCCAAAAATCCTCACCATTGCCACACAAGTTGTAAATTATCAGGTTTGAGATAAGTTATCAACATCTATGAATTTAAAGAACATCCTTGGTGATGTTGCTTCTGGTCCTTTTTCCCTCACTTGGAAAACAATTGTTGGTCTGAGCAAAGAAATGCTTTTGGAAAGGAATTTATAGATTAAGGGTAGATGAACAACCCCCAGGCCTTTCAATAGGTCACTGTGCTCCCAAGGAACTGTTTTTCTTTTTTTTTCAGCTTTAATTGAGTTTATTGGTACATTTTAGGGATACAGTACAGTTACATTCATTGTTGGGATCTTGTACCTCTACATGACAAGTCTTGATTCTCATTTTTTCCCCTTACCTCTGCCCTCCCTTCACCCCCTCCTCCCCTCCCCATCTACAAACACTTTATTTTCATCTTTTCATTCTCTCACATTTTTTTCTTTTCCCTTTTTGTTCTTCCCCTACGTATCACACCTTCCCTACACCTTTAGCTCCTTTCCTCCCATTTCTAAATGTCAGTAATCTTATTAGAATCTTATGCATTGTTGCAGAATATTCACACCAGGGAAACTATTTGGTATTTACACATGTGGGACTTATTTATTTCACTTAGGAGTATATCTTCAATATGTATCCATTTTCCTATGAATGAATCTATTCTCTCGCTCTTTATGGCTGAGTAATATTCCATTTTATAGAAAAACCACAACTTCTTTATCCAGTTTCCAACGGATGGGCAAATAGGTTGTTTCCAAGATTTAGCTATTACAAACTGTGCCGCTATAAACATGGGTGCACATACTTCTCTGTGATATGATTCTTTTAGTTCTCTTGGAAAGATACCCAACAGAGGGATGGCTGGGTCAAATGGAACCTCCAGTCCAAGCTCTTTGAGGTATCTCCATATTGATTTCCATAGTGGTTGCACTAGTCTGCACTCCCACCAACAATGGAGGAGGGTTCCTTTCTCCCCACAACCCCGCCAACATTTGTTATTGTGTGATTTCTTGATAGCAGCCATTCTTTGTGGGGTGAGGTGGAATCTCAGTGTTGTTTTCATCTGCATCTCTCGAATGACCAGTGATGTGGAACATTTTTTCAAATATTTTCTTGCTGCTTTTACTTCTTTGTCTGAGAAATGTCTGTTCATTTCGGATGCCCATTTTTGAATCGGGTCTTTATATTTGGGGGGACTGATTGTTTTGAGTTCTTTATATATCCTTGATAATAGTCCTTTGTCTGAGGAACAGCTGGTAAAAATTTTTTCCCACATTGTAGATTGTCTCTTAGTTCTGCTGATGGTTTCTTTTGAAGTACAGAAGCTTTTTAGTAAGATGAGATCCCAGTTGTTGATTCTATCTGCTAGTTCCCGTGCTACTGAGGATTTGTTCATAAAGTCTTTTCCTATACCATTGTCTTCCAGAGTTCTGCCTAACTTACCTTCCAGCAAGTTTAATGTTTCTATTTTAATATTTAGATCTTTAATCCATTTGGATTTTAATTTAGTGCATGGCAAAAGATAAGGGTCTAATTTTAATCTGAACTGTTTTTCTACATTTATTAACCCCATATAGAGAAGAGGAGAGCCTTTATCTTCACATTCTCTTGAGCAGAGTGGACCTAAATTGGCATTTTCAAAGGACATTTTACTAAATAGGACAACAATGGAAAACAGAGAAAAGGATTAGACACAGACAGACAGACGCAAACAAATGCATCCATACAAAATGATAGCTTTCCACTCCACCCACAGAAAATTCTTCTTTGGATCTTTTCATCTCCTTCCTTTCAAGGAATAAGTCATGCCATAGTTCTGTCCCATGTTAGCCCAGGGCCCACTTTTATGTCAGTAGTAAGCTTTAACATTTTCAAAGTTCTTATTTCTCCAGAGCAGTGCTGCTCATTAGAATTTTGTGCAGTGATAAAAGTGCTCTGCTTTTCCTCTCACCTACCTAAGTCAGATCATTTTACTTCTTCTGCAAAACCTTCCAGTGGCTCACCATTTCTCTTCTGAGTAAAAGCTAAAATTCTCATTATTTACAAAATACTGTGTAGTTAACCCCTTCTTACCCCCCTTTGAATTAATCTCCTGCTCCTTTATCCCATGCTCACTGTCCCAATACACAAACCTCCTTGGTCTTTCTTCAATATGCCTGACATGCTTACCCTTGAGATCTTTTGAAACAATTTTTCCTCTACCTAGAGTACTCTTCCTCCTGATATCTATATAGCTGACTTCCTCATATCTTTCAAGGCTGGCACTCAAATATTACTTGCTCCTTGAGACTTTCTTAACCATTCTATTTCAAATTGTAATCATGTATCGCCTCTCTATTTTCTTACAGCTCCCAGATACTGGACCAGTGAGAGTCCTTTAGTCCTCTTAGAAAGGCCACCTGTTCCCAACAGCCAAACCTTTTGATTACTTGCTACAGTGACACCATAGTGGAGTTATCCATCTTTCCAGAAGGAGTAGAGCTGTGACCTTTGTCATAGTCATTTTCTTTGTCATTGAGACCTAATACTGGACATGCACAAGTTAAAGGAGGAGAGGTTTCAATCCATAATTCAATGGTTTGCAAGGAAGGACAGCATGGGAGAGGAGCTTAACGGAGAAATAGCTGCTTATATCATGGCCTTCAAAAAGCAGAGAGAGAGAGAGTCAAGGCAAGAGCCAGGAAGGAAGATATAACCTTCTGGATCATGCCTACAGTGACACTCCTCTTCCAACCGGGCCCCCATCTTCTAACAGCAATTCAGGTTATAAAGCCCTAATAAGTCAGTCACCTTCCAATGGTCCTGCCTATTATTGCGTTAGGCTTTAGGGGGACATCTAGATATAAACCATAATATTCTGCCCCTGGACCCCAAAAGACTCATGTGCATATCCTTATACAAAATTCATTTAGTCCATCTCTTAAGAGTTGCCAAATCTTTAACAGTTCCAGCATTGCTGAAAAGTCCAAGCCCAGTCTCCTCTGAGACTAAAGAAAACACTTATCTGTGAGCTTCTGTAAAAATCAAGAAGAAAGTTAAACACTGCCAACATACAATTACAATGACACAAAGTAAATATTCCCATTTCAAAACAGAAATAGGAAGTTAAAAAGAAATCATACCAAAGTAAGACCAAAACCCAGCAAGGCAAACATTAAATTTATCCAGGGCAAGCTATAGTAAGATATGAACTTCAAAGGGCTTGGATAGCCCCACCCAAAAGGCATATCCAGTGATTTTAGCCTTTGTGGCTTCTCTCTTCGGCAGGGTTTGCTCACTCCTTGTGGCTTTCCACAGGCATTCCACATTTCTGGCTTCTTCAACTTCTTAGAGTATCCAATGCAATTTTTGCTTCACTTTCACAACTTCACTTAGTATCCTCTCAGGAGGACATTGCCTGGTTCCTCAGGCCTCCTTCTGAAATCTAGATGGAAGTCTCCATGACCCCATAACTCCTGCATTCTGTGTGTGTAAAACTAGTATTACATGGATAATGCCAAGTCTTCCTGATGTTTACAGAGGTCTCTGATTGCCTGAATGGCTGAGCATAGTGAATTGAATCCTGGAGAACCAATTTCCAGGGCACTGGTCCTCCAATAGAGTGCTCTGGGGCTCTCAAAGCAGAGTCATTCACTTTTGAAGGCCAAAGGGTAGGATCTTGCTCTTTCCTGATGTGTCCTCAAGCCATTTTTCTTATTGTCTTAATCTTTTCAGTAACTGTATTCTCCTCTGTTCTAATTTTACAGGACCTTCGTTTCTGGTGAAACTCAAAATTTAAAATCACTCAGCTGTGCTGTATGCTCTTGATTCTCAATATAACACTGACTAACTGCATCCAACAGTACCCATGCCACAGCACAGCATGGATACTGCGCTACCTTGAAATTTCCTCTTCTAGATTAATTAGTCCACCATCTATAATCTCAGTGTCCTGCAAAGTCTGTGGACATGAGAGCAACATGTGGACAAATTTTCTACCAGAGCATAACATATAAACCCTCGAGTCTAGTTGTCACTGGATTATTTGTTGCCAACAGAAACCTCATGAACCTGGTATTTACTGACTACATTTCTGTTAGTATTCTGATCTTCTGAGCTCCAACCAGAATCTCCCATCAAACTTGTCTTATACAATTTTTAGGGATTCTTCTCCAGCCAGCATCTACAAAACTATTCAAATTCTTCTGACAAACTAGTTCTAAAGGTTTCTAAACCATATGTGCAGATATAGTCCTGGAAATCATCCCACTTCTCTAGTACAAAATCTGTTTTAGTCACTTTCTCATTCCTGAGACACAGCTTAAAGGAGGAAAGGTTTATTTCAGTTTATGTTTCTATCAGTAGTCCCCTGGCTCCAAGACAGAATGGCATGGCATAGGGT